TCCGGCCAAAAACAACTCGAATATTTCTGTGTTGCTGATAGTTTTTCCCTTCGAGCAAAATATGAGTAGTTTAAGCAGCACAGATCAGGCGGCATACCGGGACATGCTGGTGAGTGAATGACGTATATCTCTTCCCGACAATGTCCCATCTTCCGGAACTTGTGACCGAGGAGTCTAGACGGAAACCTAGCACATCATCACTGTTTGCCCAATTCAACTCGTGCACATGGGAAAGAAGGACATTGAGGTTGGTGGGCACCTCGGGCCGACTTTGCAGTGAGAGCGCCTCGAGTGGGACAGAGCCGTTAATCCAGCTCTCGAACTCCTCTAAGGCCTCGAAGAAGGTGGTCCATGCTCTCTCATTGGGGAAGAAAGGTAGAGTATAACACTTTACCCTCTCCTTTAGCAACCCAAGGGCGGTGGCGGCATGTGCCTTCGAGAAGAGGCCGTAGTGCGATAGCGCGATGATGTCAAGTCGGTGCAGTATTTCTCTGACTACATCGTCGTTGAGTGGTACAGGACTGTGCACATCGTTGGCCGTCGGGACGTGGACCACCCCCATAGGGCGGCGAGATTGGTGGGCCATAGTGGACCGCGTGAAACGGGAGAGAGTAGAGATGGCTGGTATTCACCTCAGATAGCTGTACAGCATCTTATATTTTAAACAATTTGCAATCCTTGTGACATTCAACTACGAAGACATGAAACAAATATGTAGGATAAGTGCCGCGAGGATGACATCACTCATGAGATCCGAGCAAACCTTCGCGCAGAAGCCTGAATTGATGTTCAGTTCCGTTTGCCACTGCAATCAAACGATGAAATGCAGAGAACCAAATAATAATACATCTCACCAGTGCACCATCCTCCCGGTCCATGTTGATGATTTTTTTCCCTCTAGAGGCGCCATTTTTAATGTGCATAACAGGCACCCTGACCCAGATGCGTTCCCTAACCTGATCGCTGTCAGGTACACAAAAGCTGTTTGGCAAAGGAAGTGGTGAAGCGCAAAAGATGGGTCTCAGTAGTCCGTCGGGAATGGGATCAGGTGTTCGATCCAGCATACGGGAATAGCGCGCGCAATATTGTACCGAACGTAGTCCAACATAACCCATCCCATCTAGACCAGGATGGTAATGGGTGGGGCCGGCAGTTCAGGCAGGAGTAGAGATTCTTGGTTGTTAGACATTGTTGGTTGTTAGACATTGTTGGGCGGCAAGGGGTGGCCCGTTACTTTAAAAATATTGCAACTTCTTTTGACAATTTTGAGCAGAGCGACGACTGCAGCCGCAGCACTGCATCTCTGGAACGGACTTGTGTATGGTTGGCAGGCAGGCATTGTCAATTGAAATATAGTCATGTGGATTAGCAAGGAGATCCATGGTGCAGATGAAATGTATGAAACAACCGCATGAGCCCTAAGTCTGTTGCATGTGGGTACTCCGAGAGGAAATGCATCAGGGATATGGAATCCACTTCTTGGAAATGAACGATGCAAATATACCTAAGGCACCCTAAATCTGTGGAGGAGGAGGATTGCCGGCGCGCGGTCCCAAATTGAAACGGCATGTGGTTCGAAATCATAATATGGGATGAACTGTATTAAGAATATGGAATTCATTTCTAGGAAAGGAATGTTGCAAAATAGAAGCATGCGAGCACGAACGTTTCACAGAAGTTGGTATTAGCGGATCACACCGGTTGGAAACAGATGAGCGCGACCTATTTCCAATCATGGCGCATAAACAGCGAGATACAACTGTTGCATGTGCAGAGCGCAGACATCATGGTGAGTGAAAACGAACGATGGCACTCACTAGATGTTCACCGTCCACAACCGCGCAGTGGAATGTACATTCCAACACAAAAGTCCGGCCTTGCCAATGATGAAGCTCGGAGCCCGCTTGATGGACCCGCGTAGACGTAGCCAGTACCCCTGGCTGGATAGGCCATGAGTAGATAGTGCTGGGAAAGACATTCACTTTGATCCTAGCCTTTGAGGACCAAGACTCAATGCGCGGCGACTGTAATTTGCATTGAGACGCCAAGTTTCCCCCAGGAACATGCATCAGAACTTACCAGTTTTTGCAGCCATGCTCTAATCTCAATGTCCTTTTCTGTCATGTTGAGCACTCCCAACTAGCGAGCCCACAGGTCATGGAAGACAGAAATTTCCCAGCCTTGGGCGGTCCAATCCGGAGCCTGAAGCGTGAAGGTGTGATGGTCATTTAATGATTGCTTTAGACGAGGATGGTCAGTCACCGATAGTGTTGGGAAAGTTCGGTTCAGTTCGGTTCAGAGCCTGTTTTTCCCGAACGCTGAACCTGAACTTCGGTTCAGGTTCAGACATTTGCTGAACCCCGAACCTGAACTGCAGGTTCAGGTTCAAACGGTTCGGTTCAGCGTTCAGAGCGCGTTCGAACGCGTGAACCGAAATGATTTTTCCCACCCAAAATCAAACAGTAAATGTACGCAAAAGAAGCCCTTGATTGAAGTCAGGTACTATAAAAACTACATAATATATTCGTCGCATCCAGCTCCATCATGTCAACAACATCCGCAGGAAATCCGTAGTGCTCCTCATCTAGCTCTGCAATGAGGGTGTCCATGTGTTTGGCCGCATCCTTGGCGGCACTGATACGGCCGTTGGGGTACGCACTTTTGAGAAGCTGTAACGCTTCGAAGACTTCTGGAGTGAGTTTGTTGCGAAGTTTGGTACCGGTGAGAGTCCCACTGAAGAAAGCACGTTCTGCAGCGGTCGACGATCCCCGGATGGGTAGATAATCGCGTGATTGGGAACATCTGTTGTCGCGACGGTGGCCAATGGAATGTGATTTTAAAGACAATAGCAGCCTATAGGAATGCCTGCTCAATGTGATAGCCGATTGCTTGAGGACCTTTTGCTGCTGACATGGTCAGGGCACGCCGGAAAAGACGCGTTGCTTGACCTTATTTGGGCTACCAAACCTGCGCAAACTTCGGCATCAAGTTCGGGGTTCGAACGCGTTCAGCAAAAGTGATCCTACACTGAACTCTGAACTTGAACTTTGGTTCAGGTTCAGGAATCTACTGAACCTTGAACCTAAACTTCATGTTCAGTTCAGTTCGGTTCGAGTTCGAACCGAAAGCCTGAACCGAACTTTCCCACCACTAGTCACCGAACCCAAATGACGGGACGTCTTACAATGGGTTCGGCGAGTTGTCCAATAATCCTCGCCCTGAAGTCCCCTTAGACTGTAGCGGATCCACATCCCGCGCAGGTACGCTCAATACGATGGGCTGTGCGGAAGCAGTCATTGGGAGACTGTGGTGGGAAAAAGTCAGCACGATACTCCAAGAGAGCGAGGAAATCAGGGTGCTGTTCCAGGTGGTGGATAAAGTCGGCCGGCGTCATTTGCGCTCCAAATTCAACGCACGCCATGAGAGGTAGAATGTGAGAGGCAAGATGTGAATTACTGATGCAGTATTTATTGCGTCGCTAACGTTGCGCTCATATAAACTGTTACCAAGGCAATATTGTTGTTGTAGTGTGTACCTCGGGAAACATGGAGTCAACAATAAAACTAATTATATTTAGGAGGTATATGTAGTTATAGTTTGCAGCTCGCAAGTTAGTCAGTGTCAGCGTTTTGATCTACGAGGCGCCTGTAACACAGTTAGAGCGCATATGTGAAAGGAGTCAATGGACCTACTACCCTGCCGGGTGCGGCTTAGGCCCAGGTCCGCAGCTCATGCGAAAGCCTCGATGTCGTACAGGGGTCTTGAGAGGCCTGGACTACTCTCAGCGAGGCACTGGGCTCATGGACAGTGAACGACGAAGATACAGCCATACCCTCTTTGAGTGAAGTGTGGGCTAAGGCGTGTGCCGGTAAGCTACATGCTCTATTTAAGCGCTGAATGGAAACTGTTTGTTTTTTCTGTCGGCTTTTTTTCTCAGCAAACGTCGGCATTTTCCATGCTTTTCGATGCCTAACAAGCCGGTCATGTAAGTTTCGGGCAAAGTCTGAGCAGTTACTAATGTCTGAGTAGGCCCATATATTTTGCTACTACTATACTCGCAGAAATTTGGGCATTCATTGGGCATTCGGAACTGCTGTGTGCAAAGCGCCTATCTATGAGGCCCCGATCAGAGGTAACGCATACGAAATGTAGACTCGTGACCAGTCTGTATACAAAATACCGAAAATATGTGGCAAGCACTTCGGTTGTATACAGACTGGTACATCTCGGAATCTTGCATTGGGCTGACAGCGGAGTTTAAAATTTGGCTGAGGCCCGTGTTCTCTCTTGCACTTTGAAATTTAAGGAAATTGAATTTTTCATGAACCTTTATATGCTAGAAATAAGCACATTTGCCTCTTCAGATTTTTTTTCATTGCGGATGGAAGAGCAGAAAACGCCATCGAGTTTGGGGCAGAATTGATCGATTTTGATGGCTCGCTTATCGGCCGATCGCGGCACCTGCCAATTTTTTCAAACTCCGTTGGCAGCTCAATCCCCTTTCCCGAGATGTACCAGTCTGTAAAAGGCCCAAGCGCTCGCCGCATTTTTTCGGCATCCATTTTACAGACTGGTTACGAGTCTATACGAAATGGAGTCGTCAGATGCAGTTCGCGAAGGGTTGGTGGAACCATCCATGTCCGACACACCAGAGAAGTTATATGACTGGGACGGAGTTGTATTTGCGACAGACCAAGATTCTGTGTTGAACTATGCGTAAACTACGGTGTCCATTTTGTGCAGTGTTTAATCCCCACCATTGCGGGTCTGGTCCGGACCTGTCAGCAGGTACATAATAAGCGGTCCGGCTGATCCGGTAAAAATGCGCATGCAATAGATAAGTTTTAATTCTGATTCTGAGACCTGGTACCTGAGTCGGTACCAGGAAAAGGTGTTTAAGAAATAGTGATAAGAACATCGCGGCGTGTTGAAAATTTGATCGGGTGTCGTCGACGCGCCCACAGCCGCTCATAAATGGAGGATAGATGGAAAGGGTATAAGACCCAGTAGCACGCGGTGTGCATCTCCTCTACTTAAAATGGTTGCTGGAGACGGCCCTGGTTCGACTCCAGGCTAAGTCATGAGTACATGAATCATTGACCACGACCGTCTCTCTTTTATTTTTCAATTTGAGCAGGATATTCCTGATGCAGTGCGTCGCATGCCATGTTGAAAATATCTCGCGGCAATACGCAACATAGCAGAAACCAATGACAGAATACATGTACTTGGGTTCAACGAAAGAAAAGAATTTAAGGCGTGCCATCCGTCACATATCCCAGATGCGCTCCATGTCCAGCGGCAAATGACTCAAGAGCTGAGGGTTCTGGAATGTTTCAGTATCGACCTCCGACCGATGGTCTTTCAAGAGGTTGGTGATATCCTGGACGGGTAGCCGGCCGCGTAGCCGCAACTTCCACAACCGAGCCACGTATCGGGCGTAGCGACGTCTGTATGTCTTTATCTCACAATGCTGATTGACCCTGACCTCGTGCATGGCGTGGCTGGACAGAGCGAGAGCTTCAGAATCGTATACAGTAGCAGCGATAGGAAAAGGACACACCTCACTTCAGTCACCAAGGAGCGGAGTATCGGATGAGGGTCATACTCCAGCCGACGGGCCAGTAGGCGTGTTATGCTCCCGTCACCCGTCGGATATTCCCAAACCATCTCGTCGTCTCGGCACGCCGCCAGCACTATCTTGAATATATATATATAGATCAATTGGAAAGTCCAATGACGATGGGAGACGCACTACATCCGCCTCGCTTGCTACTGTTCGGTTTGGGTCGCGACAGTTCCACCCTTGGCAGGCCCATACTGGCGGTGGGCTGTCGCAAGCGCGTCCACCACCGTCAGCATTGTTGTCTTTGCCCAGCCACCACATTGGTACCGATTGGAAGCGCGGTCGGATGACGTATGGTTCCGGACTCTCGCAGTAACATCCATCTTTGTCAAGCCACAAAGACGACGCTGGTAGCACTTCCTTTTGCAGGTGATCGTTGTCGTTGTCCGAAGAAGGGGGCGTCGCGGCGCGTACGTCCCGGAAAGTGGCACCGTCAGGTGAAGTAGGCATTGACATAGTTCGCCGTCTTCGTTCCAGCCTTACCGCACCATTCCCGTCCTGTGAGTGGTCAATCGTTGTCCGAAGAAGGGGGCGTCGCGGCGCGTACGTCCCGGAAAGTAGCACCGTCAGGTGAAGTAGGCGTTGACATAGTTCGCCGTCTTCGTTCCAGCCTTACCGCACCATTCCCGTCCTGTGAGTGGTCAATGGACATTGGAGGCAGGGCATTTCGCCGTTGCATTGGAGGCAGGGCATCTCGCCGTTGGACACGGGTCCCCGAAATCCACGGGACGTAGACACGGTTGCATGAGAGGTGAGCAAGGTCTGGGGCGGTTTGGGATCAGCCAGAGTCGAGGCCTTTGCGCGAAAACCCACCTAACAAGGCGGCACTGTGTGAACAATCTAGCACTGCGACCAGAGAAGAGTCGACGGGGAGCGGTTCGATGAGATGACGCCGAAGTTCCTGCGTAAATATCTGAATCAACAACTGGTATTTCGTTGAAGGATGGATGATTGATCGAATGCGAGACCATGATGTCTACTAGTAGCATGGACCTACAGTATTCGTTATCACCTCGCCATCTGCCGGTTTAAGACCTGCGAGCCGGTTTCAGTGTCCGAGTTAACATAATGGCGGCACTGTGCACTGACCTACGTCTGTCTCATCCTTGCTATTCGACATAAATTCCATTGAACACCCGTGGACTGTTATGCACCACAAGTATGAGCATCACGCATGGCCTGCGGAATAGCAGACTCACACAGGAAAAAAAACCGATCCCCTCTGCGCGAGCCCCGTACGAGATCTCCAATAGCTCGTAGCTAATGAATCGCCCGCTTAAAACAGTGAAAATGCGGGCACCAAATAAAGCATACGATATTGGCTCGCGTCGGTTGCACACCGTGCTCTGAATCGAGTAGCGTGACCACATCGCTCTCGGCATATCCGTATACCCCCACCAACAACCTACGCATGAGGTCGACGTCCACATGTGCTCCGGTTAACCTGAAATTGCTAGGCTCGCTATAGCTAGTCTTGAAATACGCTACACCGATGAGTAGAGCTTTCTTCTTTGGCGGTGCATTGTCTGGGATCGACGAGTGCTTCACGCCACTGTAGCGCCCAATCTTTATCCTTGAGAAACCTGCCACTGAAGGAGGACAAGCAATCCCTGGTCCAGTAGTTTGCATTCTGGGTGGTGCGGTCAGGCAACGGTCAGGCTTGGGCGTGAAGAAGCACAGCCTTTCCGGCAAGTGCGGCCGTGTCAGCTGCCACGCCTCGTGCCTTTCTCTTTCTAGTCCTCAGCATCCATGGCAGAAATCGTCGGGCTTGTGGCAAGTGTCCTGCAACTGGTGGATACAGTCGCAAGGGCTCGCAGCTATTTGCACGATTTTCGGAATGCGCCGACAGAACAACAACAGCTACTTCAGGAAATCAAAAGTCTTGAGCCTGTGCTCGTGGTTCTCGATGAGCGATTCAGCGATTCGGAGAATCAGATAGTTGGCGGGGAGCACTTTCGAGAGGTACTGTTCCAGCTGAGAGTAGTCATGGAGGGGTTGACGAAGAAACTGGATATGGACGGTCTTTCTAGTCGTTTGACTTGGCCACTCTGGGGAAAGGAAGACGTACAACAAGGACTGAGCACGATTGAGCGATTCAAGGGTATGGTCGGCATATGGCTGGCGATAGATAACCGGTCAGTCCTGCTCGCCTTTGTCCGCTTCTGTGCTCATTCACTTCAGGAATTCCCTTCGAGGCAAGCACATTCATAAAGCCGAAGAGGTCATTATACTGATGTGATCTTCCGCCAGATGCCGCGTCAACTATCAAGGACTTCGCGGAAGACCAGAGGCAATACCACAACCGTCATTCGATTTTATTTTATGTCGCTCAGCATTTGCTAATATAATGTTCGTGCAGAAGCAAGTCAAGAGAAGCGGGTTGATAATATATGTAAATTCATTTGTTCAATGTTAGTTGACCCCGACCTGAAGCTCCGCAGATCTTTTCAAAAACATCAGGGATATTAAACGGAACCAAGAGGATGATCATGATGGTAAGCATTCTCCCCCCGGCATGACGACAGATATACGAACTCATACATATGCAGATACCCGGCGAGAAAAAATACTGGATTGGTATTCGCCGTTGAATTTCTTCCAGCGACAAGAAGAAATACTGAAGACTAGGCAACGGGACAGTGGTGGATGGTTCTTGGCAGACAAAAGTTTCAAGAGGTGGAAAGCTGCCGAAGGAAAAATACTCTGGTGTTGTGGGATGCGTAAGTATGCATTTCAAGGTTGACTGCTCGACTCTAAGAGAATGTTATCCAGCCGGCGCTGGCAAAACTGTGCTTACGTGGGTACTCTCCCGCCCTGCCCTACGCGTCATTATCTAAATAACCAATAGCTCAATTGCGGTGGACGATCTTCGAATAAGCTCAAAAGACCTCAACGTTGGTGTGGCTGCCATCTATCTCAATTACAAAGAGATACATTCACACACTCTTCCAAACCTCCTCGCCGGCCTCTGGCGCCAACTTGTAGTCGGGAGACTCATTCCCTCGACTCTGGAGAAACTATACAAGCACCACCGCGAGCTACGCACCCGGCCATCCTTGGACGAGGATCACGCTATACTCTGTTCGACAATTTCCGAATACTCTCGCGTCTTCATTTTTGTTGATGCGCTTGACGAATATCCTGAGGACGAACGCGATTCCTTACTTCTTTATCTCTCTCGGTTGGAACCCAGTGTCAATCTGATGCTAACTTCTCGACCTCACATCGCCATCCGCCATCTTATCCCAACCTTCACAATCGAAATTTGTGCAAACGAAGATGACATACGCCGGTATGTGCGTGCACAGACCCAGAAGCCTCGTCTCTTCAGACACATCGAGAAAGAGCCTGCCTTGATGGATGCCATTGAGGAAAAAATTGTGCGACATAGTGATGGAATGTGAGCGGCAACAACGATCGGCTACAAGTTCAACTAACTCAACTTATCTAGGTTTCTGCTCGCCAAGCTTCATATTGATTCCCTCACACACAAGAACACCGTCACAGCAGTCCGCGTCGCCTTGGAAGATATGCAGAGCACGTTGAACGGCACTTATGACGAAGCGATGGAACGCATTAATCAACAAAGCGAGGACGACAGACACCTCGCCCGGCGCACGCTTTCCTGGGTTTTGAATGCCAAGAGACCACTGAATATTTCTGAGCTCCGGGAAGCTCTATCTACCGAACCAGGTGCCACATACATCGACCCGGATAATATGCTAGACATGCATTTCATTCCATCTGTCTGTGCTGGACTGGTTGTGGTCGATGAAAAGAGTCACTTAGTCCGGCTCATCCACCATACTACCCACATCTATTTGGACAGAATCCAACTCACTATCCTTCCAGGAGCACAAACCGAGATCGCGTCAACTTGTATCACATATCTGTCTCTTCGGCTATACAGCGTGGAATCTGACAAGGAATCTAACATCCACAGGAATATGGCTCAAAATTATCGTTCCCTTCTAGATTACGCTGTGCAACATTGCCTAACGCACGTGCGTGGCGAGCCGGAATCAAGGATCAGACAGCCACTTCTGACCTTCCTCGCAAACGGTTCTAAATGGCGTCCGTTATGGAATAGAACCTCGTCGGATCCTGCTATCCTTCGCAATGTGCCCGAGACGGCTCCTGCACTTTGGCTATCCGCGGCTTTCCATCTGGAGGAAACCTGTCGGCACCTAATCAAGGAAAATCTCACCGGAAATGTGCTTCAAGAGGCCGCATTCCGTGGGCAGGGGCTCATCGTACGTCGGCTGATTGAAGCTGGAGCCGACGCCACCCCACAGGATTCGAACCGTGGCACCGCGCTGCAACTAGCATCGTCCAAAGGAGAGGTTGAAATTGTTCGCATGCTGATCGAAGCCGGTGCTGATGTCAACGCGCCAGCCGGGGTACGCGGCACTGCGTTACAGGTTGCGTCAGTGCAAGGCCACACCGTAGTAGTAC